CCCTCCCCAGCATGAAGACCCCCTCACACTAGTGTCTTTCCGTGTGTGCACATCTTGTCTCTCCAGGGAGACTGTGAGCTTCACGGGGGCCCAGCTGGTTGTCCACCCTCAGTCGTGGGCCCCACGTGTTGCTGATCCTGCTCAACTTCCAAGGCTCACAGCAGCCTTTACCTCCTCCAGGGGGCCTCCCTGACGCCAGGTGGGTTTAGGTTTCTCTTTGGGCTCCCACAACCTCCAATCCCTCTGTGGTGACATTGCCAGTTCACTCTTGTCTCCCACTTGATGGGAGACCCCACAAGGGCAGGTGCCGCCTCTCAGAAGCTGCTTAATCAATATTAGCTGAATGAACAAGTAGCAGCCTTCTTTTTGTCTTCCCAAAGGCCTTTGGGTTTTCGTAAATGCTGTTCCCTCTGCCTGGGACACTTTTCCCCTGATGTCCCGTAACTTGCTCCTACTCAACCTGCGGGCTCAGCTTCAATGTATCTTCTTTTCTGGCTTCTTCAAGTCGTGGTTCCCTATGACCCACGCTCCCTTGGCACCCTACACTTCTCCATCCTGAACCGATTTATTTATGTTCTTACTAATTTGTTTTCCCTGCCAGACCATAAAGGTCCAAGGATAGTCACTGTTGTACTTCTTGGCCCAGTGCCTGGCATTTATAGTTGCTCAATAACTGTTTACTGGATGGATGAATGGATGGACGGACAAGACCAAGTAATGAGCAGCTGGACCATTCTTTTGGCCACCACCAGAGGGCAGTACCCCACAACAAACGGCCCTACCTTTGGCGGGCCTGCCAGACCTGAGATCCTTGGTCTCCACTCCCACCGAATAACTCAGATAGGAGGGCAGGCCACAGAGGAGACACAACACCCACGCAGCCCCTGGTAGCCCTGGGGGTAGTTCTGGGCAAGAAGAAGCTGCAGGTGCAGGCCTGGCACATACCCAGCATGCCGATGCCCAGCATGAAGGCATCCATTCCGTAGGGCATGACTCGAGACCTCCCCCGGGCAGAGCCCGTTGGCGACATCACTTCTTTTGGCTGAGCTTTCTTACATTCCACCTGCAATGAGACCTGGTGGTCAGTTCCTCCTATGGTCCTAGGGTCACTGACCCTCCTGTTCCCTAGCAGGCCTCTTTATTGTTAATTTTATAGTTACCATTTACAGAGCGCTCACTATGTGCTAGGCACTGTGTAAATGGCTTTGCATGCAATAGTTCATGAATGCTTACACCAACCCAATGATGAAGGTAATATTGTCACTCCCATATTACAGATGAGGAAACTGAGGCTCAGAGAAGGGAGATCATCTGCCTAATGACTAGTCAAGCAAGTAGTGGAGTGAAGATTTCAATCCATGCTTTCCCCCCCATGCTTTATAACCACCATAGGACACTGCCTTGATATCCAGATTTTTGGGACATGGGAGAACTGACTACCCCACTGACTGAGGCCCCTCTGCCTGACTCCAGAAGCTCTGAGCGCCCCTGGCTGGTTCAGCCAGAGCTTCAGTCTCTCTCCGCACCTCCACCCCATCCAACTCCAGCTCACCATTTTGTTGTTGATTTCATGGAAATGGATTTCACACACTTTCTCCACGATGTCTTCGCTCTCAAACGTGACAAATCCGAACCCTAGAGAGCAAACACAGGGACAGATCCAGGCTCATGGTCAAAACCCAGCCCTAAGTCCTACCAATACCACCACTCCTCTCTCCCAGGTGTCTGAAAGTTAAAAAAAGGCTCTGCCCACAGCCCAGGAACCTCTCAACTACCTACTGAGACAGAGTTTCTAGTTCCCAATTGCAGATGGGAAAACCAAAGCTCAGGAAAGGAAGGTGACTTGCTCAAGATCGCACAGCAAGTTAGAAAGTGGCAGGGCCACGATGACATTTCACCCAAAGAGGGAAGGAAGAACACAAACACTTATTTAAACTTACACAAAGTATACACACCCAAACATGTTTGTGCACAGTCACACTCATATAGGCACACACACACACATACACACAGGTATCCATGTATCACACACACGCACCCTCACTGGTGCTCCCAAAAACAAAAAGACCCCTGTGTACACGTACGCAGTCACCTTGATAAAACAGGTACATAAATATTCAGATACTGACACCCTCATATGCAGATATACACACACATACAATAGCACCCCCCCCACTCCAGGAACAGGTTAAAAGGCTCAAAGGCCTGAAGCAACTGGAGATACAGCCCTGCCTCCTCCCGGGTGAGCCCCAGGGACTGGAATGGGATTCTCAGCAGGCCAGGCCTTTGGGAGAAAAACAACCAGGCTGTGCAAACACTGTGGCCCAGATGCTCACAGGTTCAGGGGCAAGGGGGCTGGGGGCTGGGCTCAGCCTGAGGGTGGG